TCCTCCTCCACCAGCAGCCCCTCGCTGTGCACCTGGCAGGGAGAGCACAGTCTGTCTGCTGAGAGAGCAACACAACACCTGCATTCATCCTTGTTCCCACCAGCTCCCTCCCTTCCCTCGTGCCCAGCACCAGGACCAGTTATGCAGAGCTCCCTGTGGAACAGGCCATGTCCTTCCTGACCCTGTGCCTGTTAACTTTAACTACTTGCCTTAGTCACACGTATAAAAGGTGGTCTTAAGATTCTCCACTTAGTTTTGCAATCAAATTACTTCCCAGCCCAATTTCCACCTACACCTCTCTGTATGAGCTTCATCAGGTGTGTTTTGAATTTACCTGGAAGCTGCACAGGGGCAGGCTGGGCACTATTCTGGGAACACAAGAACTCCTTCATTATCTGTGCAAAAAGCACAGGTACCTCCAAAACAAGAGTGACAAAATCTCTGTGTAGATTATTCTAAAGTACTTCCCAGAAACTTCCTATTCCCTGCTCACACTTCCCAGCCTGGGTGACAGGCAGGACACACCAAGATGGACAAGGCAGTTTGTGCTTGCACAGGGACAAAAATGCAAGGGCAGGAAGCACTTTGAAAGGTTCCTTCTGTTGTTATGATATTTTTTGAAAAATCCCTTTGTTAGGATTTTTCTCCTGAGAAGCTGAGAAGCCTCAGAAAAGAAATGTAAACAATAATTATCTGATTGTCTGGGAATGTGGTCTGGAGATACTTTACCACCAGGTACATCTTTGATTGGTTCCATGTGAATTGTTTTTAATTAATGACCAATCACCATCAGCTATGTCAGACTCTGAGGAGTCAGTCATGAGCTTTCATTATAATTTTTTTTAACCTTTTGGTGTATCCTTTCTCTTTCTTTGCTATAGTTTTAGTATATTGTCACCTTGATTTTTTAAGATTTTCTAAGCCTTCTGATGTTGACATTCTTGTAGCAAACTTTTTTACACAGATACTCTAAATAACTTATTGTTTTGCATTCTTTTATAGAAGAAGAGAAATTTGATGGACTGTTAGTTTGTCCAGGGTCAAATGGACAAAACAGATGGACTGTTAATTTGTCAGTAGAGAGGTGGCACTTTCACCCTCCAATCCACTGTCTCTTTTGGAAAACTATAAATGTTGGAGTCGGAAAATAAAGTTGCCTTTTCTTCACCTTGAGAGCAGCAGTGTGTGCTTGTGTTGTTTTGTGTCCTATAGTGACAGTATATGATATGATATGATATAATAATAAATCAACCTTCCGAAAACATAAAGACAAATTCTCATCTCTCACCTCATCCTAAAAACCTCACAACACCACATCCTTCATTGCTCATGGGTGGAATGCAAGGATCCTTGACTCCCCATAGCCTCCCTGAACAGGATAAAGCAGCACATTTTTCACCACTTTTTCAGGATTTATTCTGCTTTCCTAAGCTGAAACACCACTGCAGTTCCTAAGGCAGTTACTATTGAGGCCAGCAGTGCTGTGTGCTGGTTTGGGGCCCTGGCTGGCTGTGGGGTGGGGTAGTCTGGGCTCTCCTGAGCAGGAGCAGGAGCAGGAGCAGGAGCAGCAACAGGAGGGATGGCAGCAGCAGGAGGGATGGCAGCAGCACTCACAGCCTGGGCCGCCGCCGGGCACCGCGCGTACAGCACGAACAGGTGAGCGTAGAGAACCTCGCCGCTGTCCACCTGGAACTGCACATCACTCAGGTGGGGGTTGTTGACCATGGCACCAAAATCTTGAGCCAGCAGCCCCAGAGAGGACTAGGACACAGAAGGAACACAAAGACAGGTGTTAGGTTATAGATGTCAAACAGTTTCCCAGAAGAATAAGAAGGGAGTGACCCAGTGTGGGCCCAGCCTGGACATGCCACCTCTGCCTCCTGAGGCAATCATCAGCTTTATGAACTTCAGCTCTTCCACAGGACAAGCAGGCAGGTCTAACAGACATTCCTGCTTTGTTTTCCTCTTCTTTTTCCCAGCCTGCCCATTGTGGAGAAAGGGCAGTTGTGTTGTATTCTGCTGTACTTGTGTCACAGCACATTATCACCTCAGATCTCACCCCACGTTTCCTGCTGTGGTTTAGCCACAGCCTATAGCTGGCCTCTTGATCTACTGCCTCCCACCACAATTTTAGCAAACTGTAGCTTCCACTTCAACAGATTTGAACCCAATTCACTATAATCAGGATAAGAGGAAAGAGGGTGACTCAGGAAGGGGTAATGAGCCTTTCTTTTCTCTTTTTACTGTCTGGTAATGACAGCTGAGAAGAGCAGCTCTGCTACAAGGGGCCCCCACAGATGCAGGCATCCAGTTCAAAGGAATTTATGAGCATGCTACTGAAACCTCTTTTGTAAATTCCACTCCATTTTGAAAAAGAAACACAACTTCTATGACCATTCCAGAACTCCTGGCTAGAATTCTGGGGAGGGCTGAGTTACCTGTGGCTGGTTATGGTGACAGTAAGGTCAGGCTTGGGGTATGCTGCCAAAGACAGCAGGGATGGCAAGACAGCTCCTCTGGAGCTGCTCCCAGGCAATACCCTGAAGACTCAGATCCCTCCTAGTGTTGCAGCTTTGGAGGTGGAAGTGCTTCAGAGAAGTTTGAAACACCCTCAGATCACAGCTGGGTTGAGAAACTGCCTAACTGCACGTGAACAGCAGTTTATGGTTAACATCCTAATCATTGACCTTGTGCTTTTCAAACCTACTGCAAGTTTTATTCCAGGGAACATCTGCAGGACATGCAGTTCCACCTGGAACAACACAGCTCTTCATTTTCTTAGCAGGTTTCTACATTAGCACTGGGCTGTGGAGAGCCAACCTTTCAACTTGCTCCAGCCAGCAGGAATTAGCAGCGCACAGCAGAACACTTCTCCCAGCCTTCAGAGGTGGGCTAGGGAACATTCTGCATGTTGTGGCAGTGCTCTGGACTGATCTCCAAAGGGAAGGCAGGAAACTCAGTCTGGAAACTAATCTGACTCCTCTTGTTTTCTTATTCTTGGCAGGTGGGATACCTGTGAGGCTGCCCTGGGGCTGCCAGCAAACACAGGCTCCAGATGTGATGTTCCAGGCAGCGAGCCCAGAACAGCTTTCCTGCTGCTGCTAAAATTATCAATCAAAAATGGGGAAATTAAACAAGGCCAGGAACCTCCTGGCTGCTCCATTCTGTGTGCAAGGCACAGAAACTGGCCAGGAGGCAGCTCTGAGCAGGTATGAGCTGTGTGCTGCAGAACACACCAGAACATTCTCTCCTGCTGAGGAGGCCACTGAGACTGAGCCCACTGATGTGACCAAGGCCTGCAGCACAGGAGATGTGTTACCAATGCAATGAGTGCATTTGCTCTACATGGTTACACTGTTTGTGCTCAAATAAAGCACAAATCTCTCTCACTGACCATCCAGCTCTTCCACAACACTTCCTTGGCTCAGGGAAACTGTAATGGAAACAAGCAGACTGAAAAAATGACCACACTTGAGCTTCAACAACAGTGTGAGAACAGTTTCTCTACTGCTAAAGGCCTCTGGTTTAATAGAAAAACAAAACAAGGCCTTTTCCTCCTAAGGATAATTTTTTTTAACACTCCCAATGAATATCTAGAGTTTCTGTAACAAGTAGCTGGGATCCTACCAATTCTCACCTCAAGGAATTGTCTCATTTTAGAAGTATCTTAATCCTTTAAGCACAATATGAAAGTTTGTTGTCAGAGCACCAAAATTTATCCAGCACCAAAATGTACTTCCTCTCAGGGCATGGTTATTTATTGTCAAACAAACGAAAGTAAATGTCATCAGATAAAGTGGATGACCTTGGTAAGAAAATGAATTAATTTTACTTTGTATGAACTTCAATTGAATAAAACTGATTATACATTCATGGAAAATTACACATCCCCTGGTGCATGTGGAATAAGATGACATCTATAGAACACCACATAAAAAAAATAAATCTGTGACTTTCTAGGCTGTGTTTCTCACTCAGTCACCATAGAGCACACACTGATTTTCAAACTAGATCCTCTGTGTTCCCACAACTGAGGGTTTTCTACACCAAAACCTTCAAAAGCTCAATTAGCAGCAAAAACTGCATCCTACTCCCAAACACTGTCAGTGCTACAGCTCCCTGACCTGCACAGCCTGGCCTTCTGTTCCCTGACATTTAAATCATCTCTTATCAGGCAGGACAAGGACTGAAAAACCCCCAGGATGGAACTGCTGAGCTCACCTATGCCCATGAGGAATCCTCAAGTCACTGTGAACCTCAAGCACCACTTTGTTTCCACAGGTAGGAATGGGAAATATTCCACACTTCTTTGATTTGCACAAAGGAACAGTTTTTAATTGTTAATAGATGAATATATAAAGAGTAGAAAAAAAGATTATCCTTACTTTTTTAGTGCTGCTCCTGAGGAGACTCTTCTTCTTGGATGGGGGCACAAAGCCACTAAGTGGGGGATCACTGGAAGTCAGTTCTTCTCCTCAGGGAAGAAAATGCACATCACAAATCACACACAACCTCCTTGTGAGACAGAATGATCTAAGAACTGCTAAGAGGATCCTGATCCTTGCTGTGACAGCTGCTGTGGCCAGGCTGGCTGGGCTGAAGGCTCAGCCTCTCCCTCATGGCTTTTTGCAGGGTTTGGCTCTGGGTTGTGGCAGCCTGAGGGTACCTAAGCACCATTTCACTGTTATTTATACACATTAAAGGGCCAGGGACCATTTGCTGCAGTTTAGCAGGGGAAGTGAGCAGTATTATATCCAAGTGCAAATGCAGACAGCTGAGCTTAGGAACTGTGTTCTCTTTCACAGATGAACAGGAGACACAACAGATTCTGCTGAAGAGCCAGAGCACTTTAAGGGGTACCACTGCCCTCAAAATGTGCAGTTGTGCACCACATGCACTGTGACTGGGACATTAGAGAGCTGCCCCCAGAGGAATTCCAGGTGCTGTATTTTTTCAACCCTGAGTAGGCACAGATAAACTCCAGGTTTGTGTAATCCATGTCCAACACAAAATCATCCCTCCTGTGCATCTCTCATCCAACTGTCTCAAGACCTGAAAAGACAGTGCACAGAACAGAAAGGCTGTCCAGGTAGAATCATGGAATCCCAGACTGGCTTGGGTTGGAAGGGACCTAAAGTCCATCCAGTGCCACCCCTGCCATGGCAGGGACACCTCCCACTGTCCCAGGCTGCTCCCAGCCCTGCCCAGCCTGGCCTTGGGCACTGCCAGGGATCCAGGGGCAGCCCCAGCTGCTCTGGGCACCCTGTGCCAGGGCCTCAGCATCCTCACAGGGAAAAATTTCTTCCCATTATCTAATCTAAATATAACCTACTTCAGTTTGGAACCAATCCCCATGTCCTACATGTCCTTGTGAAAAGTCCCTCTCCAGCTCTCCTGTATGTCCAAGATAAGCAGGAATGAAGATTTTGTTCCAGCTGTTCTCCCTCCTGGCAGAAAATACTTTGATTTCTTTAATTTTAAAATAAAATCTAGTATATGCTGTCCAGGAATTCTCTTAAAAGCTGGGATTTATGAATAATTTCAGAAATATCAGGTTGATTGTTCTACATCCTATTTCAGGAAAATGTGTCCCCACAACTTCACCTCTTGGATCAACACCAACACCCTGTGGGTGCTGCTGTGGCTCTCAGAGTGAGCCCAGCCACAGCCTGGCTCTGTGCAGCTGAAGGAACCAGGGCAGGGCCCACAAAGCTGCCAGAACTCACCTGGCTGCTCTGCTGCCTGACCCCGGCCACTGTCAAGGTTCCACTGGGTAAGGGTGAGTCCTTCCCTGGCCAAGTCCACCAGGTCCTGCAGGGTCTGAATGTCCTGGCTTGGGGACAAAAGCTGCCCATCTCCTTCAGGAACTGGCTTGGATCCATCAGAAGTTTGGCCTCCAACCTTTGTGCAAGTGGTTTCCTGAGAACTGAGGTCAGGCTGAGTTTGCTGGGATATTTGTGGCTGATGAGATCCCACTGATGGCTGAAGGTTCTCTGGCTTATTCTGATCAAGTGAGGAGGAAAAAAAGACACCAATAAATTAGATCTTGTTTCATGTATTTGCAAAGCTCAGAGTACAGTCTTTATTTCATACTCCTGAAATATCTATGAAAAGATCTATCTATGAAATATCTATGAAAGATCACAGAGCACTGCTCAGGTCCAGGGGATTCTGAGGAACAGCTCTCTGCAGTTCTGTGAAGGACTCTCCAGAGATAAGACAGCTCTGAACACAACAAAGAAAACTACAATGGAAAATGCAGAAAAGTTGGTTTCTCCAGGAGCATGTCTGTGCAGGCAACTGCCAAGCAGGGAGAAAGCTCCCAATTCAATATCTAAATATTTAATTATAGCCGGAGTTCCTGGCAAAAGTCACAGCTGAAGCTCTCCAGGTGCTTCTGTTCTGAGTTCTGAAATGCTTTTGCATTTTTAGTTACATTATGTGTAACTAAACATTAGTTACATTTTATATGTAACTAAATCAAACTTTCACCTTGGAGTGGGTATTTTCCTGGTTTGGTCTTTGTTTCCCAAAAAGTAATTTTGCTCATTTACTTCTAAGTAAAAATAGTTCAGTCACTTCTGTGAATGGAAAGAATCAGAGGAAAAACACACTCTTGCCATGATTTTAAAGACATTCCTGCTTTTTATTTTTAAACTTCTCTGGCAGTTTCTGGCTTGAATGAAAGGTCAAAACTTCCTAGAATGGAGTCCCTCCTCTCCAGCCTCAACCTGCAACAAGCCAGAGAAACATTGGGCTTTGACTAGGGAAGAAGTATTAAATAAAGCACCTAAATATGCACAGTAGGTTTTGAGCAGATGTTTTGAGCACTGAACATTTCTTCAAGAGAAGAACAAGGGAAGAAAGAGAAGTGTTATCCTTCTTGGAGAAAAGAGACTGAAAGAGCTTTGTCTGTTTCTGTGAGCACTTTTTATAAAAATACAGAGCACTGGAAGAGGCAGATCCAGGTGGAACCAAAATGAAAGAGTGGAACTGAGACTGGAGCAAAGCTCACATGCAGCAGGAGGATGCACAGGGGAAGCCTGAGTGCAAATGCTTTGCTGAACAGCTCCAGGCACTGCCACCTTCTCTGTGCTAGCAAATAGCAGGTTGCACTGTAAATTTTTCTCCCCAGCCCTTGCTGAGTGCAACACAGGCAAAGTTCACACTAGAAATGACCAGAAAGAAGTGCCAAAAAAACAAGAGCCAAGCTGCTGTAAATATGGACAAACTAATGAGCAGGATGGGATCCCTTTACTCAGTACTCTCTGTTCCCATCCCTTTTACTTTCTGAAAGCTCAAAAACCATGGTAACATGAACCTTGTTCTCCTGTCCAAAAGCCAGAAATGAAAGTTTAAGATCCTCAAACCTGACTGGGTATGACCAGGGGAGAACAGGTCATGGGCAGTGGGTGTGCAGAGAGAGGGATCACTGGTTTACATTCCAAACCAGGAAACAGAAGGACACAGGGCAAGTGTCAAGAACTATGGCACACACACATCAGAGCAAGGACAACAGAGCCCCACCTGCACAGGCTTCCAGGGTTCAATTGGAGGGCTCAAGGCTGCAGTGTAGAATGATTCAGGGTCACAGGGGCCTGTCAGAGCACTGATGTTCCACAAAAAGCATTTCTTGGCTTTGCACAATGGCATGAGCCAGGCTGCTGCTCCAGAGTCATCCTCCAGAATCCTACTGATGGGCAGCTGAGGGGTGGGAGGGAACTCCACCTCTTCTGTCAGCATCATGGCTACTCTCTCCTGGATCCTCTTGTGGACCTTCTCTGGGTCCTGGAGCAGCAGAGGTGGAGGGGCACTGGTGCCTTTCCTACGCCTCTTTTTCTCTTTAAAAAGAAAAGGAACCCAAGTAAGCAAACAGCTGAACACACAGGGCAGAGGAGATCAGCACAGCAGCTGCTTCAGGGCTGCAATCAGTGACAAGTAGAAGGCATGGGAACACAACTCTTAAGATTGTGCAGGTAGTGCAAAACTTCACATGGCCCTTACAGGAGAAATGAACTCCACAACACCCCCATGAAGGCTCCTTTTCTTGTGATCTGGTCATGGGTGAGATCAAAGCACAGCTCACACAAACACTGGGCAGCTTCCATTTGGAAATGCTGTGTGTTACTACCTTTGCCTTACTAATGCCCAGCCCTAAATCCATCTGAGAGTTCCTATGGGCAGGAGCAGGGTTGTGAAGAGTCAAATCTCCTCTCTGGGCAGTTCTCAACCCTCTCCCCAAAGGCAGTTGTCTGCCTTTCTAAACCCTTCTGCCCTCTGGAATGGTGAGGCCCTGCTCAGCAGCAGGGCCTGGACACACATGGCACTGCAGAAAGGACAAAATGATATGAGATAATGCTGAAAAAGCTGCATTAATCCAGGCTGCAGCAGGAGGAACAGCAAAAGAATCTACTACAGGACAAATAGCAATCATGTTTTGTATTATTTCTCCTCACTTCCACAGTTTACAAGAAACAACAGCTTAAGAGTATTTTACAGATTCAAAAGAGCAAATCTGTGAAAAAAACCCATAGGACTCCTGAAACCCATGGACATCCTGCTGTCATTCTAGACTGCATCTGGATACTGCATATTGTGGAAGCTCTGACAGCTTAAACAAACCAGAAACAGGGCTCTCATCCCTCCTGTATCCAACAGGGAAGCTTTGGTGGAGAGCAGCCCTGTTACTCCTGCAATACCACAGCCTCAGACACCAACCTGCTGTCACACATACCTGATCCTGGCTTCCATTTGATTGGGAAAGCAGCCACTGCTTTCACATTTGTAACTGATTTTGCTTGTTCCTGCTTTTCTTGCTCCAACAGAGAGCGTGACATTGCCATGGCAACCTGCAGATCTTCATCCTTAGGCTCCATTTTGGCCCTCTTCTGTGTTTTCCTCAGGTCCTCGTTGGAGGGGCCTTTCCTCTTTGCCCTGCTGGGCTGATTGCTGAAATCCAAGAATTCAGCAGGAAGCCCCAGTTAATGTGGCTGGATCAGAGACAACAACCACTGAGTACTCCAGAGCAGCTGTTCCATTTGCTCACAGAGATTCCCATGTCAAGCAGAATAAAAACCATTCAGTACTTTCTCTCCTAGCAGAGAGCAAAGGATTTATCATTCATGGAATTTGGAGCAATTTAGAGAAGTCTTATTTTGGGATGTAAGCATCTGTTATCTCTACCTTGAATGACTTTTTCTATCAAAGGGGACCAAACAAGTTGAAGCAGGGAGAAAATCAGATCACCAGAAAATGCTTTCCCACCTCTCTGCTTGCACAGGGAACAGGCAATGGTCCTTCCTTGGCACAACAGGAGCCCCTCCACAAACTCACTCAGGCACCACTTGGTGCATTCAGAATCTGAAGGCTCTGCTCAAATTCAAGTGAGCAGCTCTGTACCAAGCACATTCCAAACCACCACATCTGCTTCCTCTGGCTCAGGATGAAAGCATGTTCCCAGGACAGCCATGAACTGAGGAGCTGAGGCTGTGGCACCAACAGATGTCAGGAAAGGCTCCACACTCACACTCTGTGGCTCACTCAATGAGCTCAAACACACCCATTCAGCTTTACTGAGCACAAATCATTCTGCCAAACCACTGCAGGGTTGTTTACTCCCCATTTCGCTCCTGCCTGCTGGCTTTTAAAGTCATCCACCACCTGACCTCTTCTGAGGGAAATTCAGATTTCTCCAGCTGACTGCCACATCCTCCTCACTGGGCCATGGCTCAGGGCTCACCCAGTGTGTGAGTCAGCCTTGCATTTACTGCTCCTCCCAACCTCCAACACCTCTCAGCCCAAAAGAAGCAATCAGCATCTTGTTTTTTTCCTTTACCAGCTTACCTGGGACACTGAAGAGCTGCATCACCAAGAGTGGCCACCTGCAGCTGCACAGCCTGGAGCAGCAGGTTAGGAGGCACCTCCATCTCCACAGCACAGCGTTTCAGGTGGCTGACTCTGCTCTGGGGGGTTTGGAACTGCTTCCCACAGATGGGACACTCAGGGACCACTGGTTTGCTGCAGGATGACACCTGGGCTTCTTCCATCTCATCCAGACACCTGTGGTAAATGGAGACTTTACCTATGGAGACTTTGTAGGGTCCATGCTAAGACTGAAGCCATTAATATATTAATATTAATACTGGTATTATTAATAGAAAGCACAATCACTTCTAATATCAGTAACAGCCAAGAATATCCACTAAAGGAACAAGAACTATGTGCCCACTGCTGTCATGAACACAACATGGAACAGTTACATGGACACAATGGTCTCAGAGGCACATTAAAAACACATTGCTGAAAGGAAAGTGCAGTGAATAACTTTAGAATCATAAAATCCCACATGGTTTGGGGTGGAAGGGACCTTAAAGGACATCTTGATCCATGATTCCCCATAGGCAGGGACATCTTCCACTACAACAGGTTATTCCAGCCCTGCCTTGAACATTTCTTGGAATAAAGAGTCCACAGCCTCTCTGAACAACACATTTCATGTGTGTCCACCACCCAATCCCTCTTCCTGCACTCATTTTAACATTCCAGCTCCTTTATAAACCCCTGTTAACAGAAAAGGAGCAGCTGAATTGACACAAAGCTCCAGAGTGCAGCATGATGAACTTCAAATAACTTCTGGCAGAACAAAAACTATGTAAAAATTTGTACTTGTTGTTTTTCTGTTCTTTCCAAAGAGATTCAGGGTGTGAAATCCTGGATCTGCAGGACCTGTTACAAAAGTCACTCCCTGGTTGGGTAATGATACACAGGGCTGTGCTAAGAGACCATTCAGCACTGGTGAAGACTGGTGTGTCAGTCCATCTACAGCTCCACTCTTGGGATGAAGGCTGCTATCAAAAATCCCTGGCTGATATAACCTTGTAATCTCAACACATGATTACATGTGAATGGTTCAGAAAGCCTGACTTTCCAAAAAACATATCTAGCACTCTCACTGTTTTATAGCTTTTTCAAGCAGCACAAATTGTCTGAAAACAGAAACAACAGTAACACCTAGAAAGCTGCAGGTGCAACAAGCCTGATCAATGGGAGCCAGTCAGTAACATGATGTAGGACTGGACAATTTCCATCACCCCTGCTGTCTGGAAGTGCCTGAATTAAGAATTTACAGTCATTCAAATGTGTTGTTTCTGATACTTTGTCAACAGAAAAGCAGAGTTTCAATTTCCAGAGAGTTGCCTGTGCATAATATATTGTGTTTGATTTTTATCACTAAGGAAATTGTTAAATGAAGGGCAGTAATTTCAATTGAGTCATCTCTCTGAGTAGCTCACATTTCCCTCAGCAAACACCTCAGATACAGTGACATACCAGATGTCCTTAGATGAATTGTAGCAAAACAGAGCAAACACAACTTTGTTGGTTGAAATCAGGAGATCTCTAAATTAGCATTAGGGAGTCATCACTAATGGAATCATTAAGGTTGGAAAAGACCTTGAAGACCACCAGGTTCCTTTGCAATGGCAGCTCCTCTGCCACACTGCCAATGAAAGCAGATCTGGCCCGGCCACACACATGCAGGAGCAATCAGCCTCTGCTTTCACACCAAAATGGCTCCTTAATTCAACTTTCAAAGGTGAAGACCCTTATGCAGAACCCCTGCTCCCACTTTCTCCCCTGGCTGGGCTGAGTGAGGAGCCTCTGGGGCTGATGGAAGGACAGACAGGCCCTGCTGGTGTCTGACCTGTTGACGTGCTGCTCTCGCCGCAGGCTGTTCATGGCTGTGAGATCCTTCTGGCAGATCTGACAGAAGAACAAACCTGCATCCTCCAGGCTTGCCAGGGCTCCCTCCTTGCATTCCTGCTGGAGAGCCAAAGCCAGGGCACTGTCCTGTTCCAGGGATGGGAGCTGCTGGGTATCTGGGAAAGAAGGCAGAGGTGATGTAAGATGGAAAACTAAATCTTGTATGGAAGGTGAGGAACTGGTACACTTGGCATTATTAAACCAGACACACAAAAATTCATTGCAATCTTTCTTTTGCATCTTCACACTTGATCTCCACCAGGAAAGGTACAACCTGCTCCTTTCCAACACTCCAAGACTGAATTCCAAGACTGTACCAAGAAACTGGTACACTTGTCATTATCAGCCTATTAAACTAGACACACAAAAATTCATTGCAATCTTTCTCTTGCATTTTCACACCTGATCTCCACCAGGAAAGGCACAACCTACTCCTTTCCAACATTCCCAGACTGGACCAGCCCAGGGGCAGGAGGTGACAATTCACTCACAGTGCATCATATGTCAGGGACAATGAAGGGACAGTTTTGGCTGAAGTTTCTGGGGAAAATATGGAATTTTATAAATGAAATAACACAAATTTTCATGTCCATACAGAACCAACAGAGACTTGATCTAGAAAGAACAAACCAGAGTAAATTTGCTGTGAATTCCATTTATCAACACAGAACATATCACCTTAGAGAGTGCTTGGAGATGTACCAAAGATGGAGCTACCTAAGAGCTGCCTGACACTGTCCCTAGGGAAGGATGACCAAGTTCACTGATCCTGTTGGAATTTCAACCTGTTTCCAAAAAGACAATTATTCCTTTAGAATTTACATGAGGTTAATTCAGCCTTAGAGAAGAGCTGGGAAAAAAGTATAGATAATCCTTTAACAAAGTTTTCTCAGGGATCTGGAGTGATTTGCACAGCAAGCCACTAGGCCAGCAAGGAACAAAGCCCTGGGATCCAGGACTGCTCCTGAGGCAACCATTCTCACCAGGCACTCATTCTGCACACAGCAGAGCCAAGAGGAGACACGTACCATCCTCAGGAGGCTCCTGCTCCTGGCTCCTGGCAGGGAAATCCCAGCTGGCTGCAGCCTTTGGCACGCTCCCATCCGAGCTGAGCTTCAGCTGCTCGGGTGCCACCCTCTTGAACTGCTGCATTCTCTCCACCACCAGCTCTGCCACCCTCACCTTGGGGGTGGGTGAGGAGCAGGATCCTGGAGGAGTAGCAGGAAGGAAGGGTAAGGTGGTCTGGGAAGAGTCACTCAGAGGATTTACTAGAGGGAGAGAAAACACCACATTTACCAGACAGCTTTAAACACACACCAAGAGCTGCTGGGAGACCCTTCCCTGACAGCAGCCTGGGCCAGCTGGGCTCTGCAACAGCCATTCTTGGAGAAGTGAACAATTTATATAGCCACAGTAACAACACTGGGGTTCTGTGCTACAGGGGCATTTAGAGACTTTTGTATCCCTTTTAGAGGCAGGAATATTAAGGCAGCCACTTGGGGAATTTACTAGAGGGAGAGTAAAACCACCACATTTACCAGGCAGTTTTAAACACATGCTGAGAGTTTCTGGAAAGCCCTTCCCTGAGAGCAGCCAGGCTCAGTTCTACAGCAGCCATTTTTGGAGAAGGGAACAATTTGTGTAGCCACAGTAACAACACTGGGGTTCTGTGCTACAGGGGCATTTAGAGACTTTTCTATCTGTTTTATAGGCAGGAATATTAAGGAAGCCTTGCATGGTCTGCAGCAGGGACCACAGCCCTGCTCTCCCAGCATTCCCACTACACTGGTCCCATTCCTGACTGACCCAATTTATCAGTTTAAGGACTTCCATCACTGGTGACTGCATTCTGGCCATCATGTGTAACAGCACTGAAGGACTAACCCCTTCTGAATTAATCCAACACCTTCCTTAACTCATTCCTGTTTTTGCCCTTGAAAACATCCAGTGACAGATGTCACCACACAATGAAGCACTGAGTGAAAAAGCACCACAATATACTCTGAGCTTGCTTCTAGATTATCTGAGAGTACTTTTGTCAGCTCTGATACTGAAAAAAACAGTAAATAATCACTGGCCAACAAATCAGTTTGTAGCAAGGCTTCACCCTGCTGAGGGACACACTGCTACCTGTGTAAGGTGCAAGCCTTCCAAGAGTGCTGCTGCATCCCCTCTGGATGGATTTCTCACTGAGCTAGAGTCCTTCCAGTCCTTGCCTATCTTCTGTTTGACCTGTTCCAGCTCACTCACCTGTCAGAGACCTCTGGCTTCCCTCAGAGGTCCCTGTGCTCAGCTGGCTGGCAGGGAGAGGGCTCCTTGCTCCATCTCCCTGTGCAGCCTCACCACCACAGGCTGCAGCATCACCATCCTCATGCACCAACGTTTGCTCCTTTGGGCCCAGATTCTGAAGGAAGTTTTTCTCCTTCGCTGCTGGTGAGTGATGAAGGGTTTGGCTCTTAGCAGCAGCTTTGCCTCTTCTCAGTTTGCTTCGTGCTGTGGTGCTCTTTGGCCTGTTCTGAACCCTCTTTGTTGCCTCAGCATCCCCAGCCTTTTTCTTTGCCCCACTCAAAATATTTGCCCACAACTCTTTGAAATCATTGTCCTGCTCATCCATTGGCTTTCCAGCAACACTGTGAGGGCTGGAGGGCAGGGGGAAGCACCAGAATCAGTTCAGATTTGCATCAGCCCTTCCAGCACCTCACAGATGTCCATTCTCCAGACTCCAATGAGCTCACCAGACAGAGTGGGCACTTCCAACAGTTCATTCTTCCACACTTCATTCACATTCAGCAGAGCATGTTTTCTCTCCAGGGACCTCAGCTGTTTCACAAGCTGGTTCTTCAGAAGGATCTGGATTATAAGTAAAGCATCTCAGTTTGTGCAAAGCATGTGTAGGATCATCATGGTAAGGTACAGAGCTTCAGAGAGACACTTAGGAAAGCCCTTAAACAAAGAAACAAAAGCAGGTGGTCATGCATGATGGTACAGGCAGAGGCACTGTGGGACAAGGTGTAAACTGCTGAAGGAGAAGAGAATTTGCATGAAATGCTAAGATTGGAAACAACACATATTGACCCCAAAGAGTGTCCCTATAATTGTACTACAAACATGCCCAAGCCACATCAGCAAAGGAGAGGAGAGATTTTAAAACAGGTATCTGATATGGGGCAGGGTTTTGTCTTGGAGCTCTGGATTCAGACATTCTGAATTCTGTTACACAACATTCCTACTTATATTTATATAGCACAAGACCAGAAATGCAGCAGGGAAAAGCCCCATCCCTCAGGTCATGCAGTGATTCTGGGGTGTTGAACACGTTGAGACATTACAGTTCCAGAGAAGAGAGCCCAACCTCATTTGGAAAGGTAAATAAATGGAGTTTCTGGCACTTCAGAAGGGGTTTTAGGACAAGTCGGAGAACAATTCCATTAAACATGCTCACCTTTTCTCTCCTCTTACTCCCACTGCTGCTCACTTAGCATTAAGCTCTCCTGCTCCTGCTGAATTCTCCCCCTGAGTACTCAATAAACCACAGCCCTGATCGTTTCCCAAACTGCTGTCACATGTATGAGGTAAACAGACTAAATAAATGCTATTTTTAAATGAATTTCTTAATCTTTTCAGCTACAGCAAGAACAGCAGTACTAGGCAGGGATTACCTGGAACACCACTGGGTACAGTGTCCAGATGGAAATGCCATCAACATTAAAACTAGAGCTCTATTCTGACCTGTTTTCATTGTCCCCTTCTTCCTAGCCCTGAGTTCATGATGGTCCTGGCTATTTCACCAAGGGTTTTTATTGCTCCCAAAACCTGCTTCTTTCAAACCTGAACCAGAGTGTTTCACTTGGAATGGCAGCAGCTGTGGTCCAGTAAAGCTCTGGGCACAGAAAGGCTCAAAAAGCAGGAAAAACACATGGGGGATTGTTTTCTCAAAAGGCTTGGCTGCAGACATGAGAGGCTGAGGAATGCTGCTTACACACTTCCATGGCTCAGCCTTTCCTATAAGCAATTACAGATGTTAATGGATTTATTTATTTTAAACTCAGGCTCCCAGACCTGCAGAGGATTTTGCTGTGAATCTTGGAGTAATTTTCTGTTAGAAACAAAGCTTTTATGTAGCCAGTTCATAAATTTACTTTTCCTGGACAGAACACTGAGGTAGTTATAACAGTAAATTGACCATTTTCTTGTAAGGAGGAGAAGCCATGTGGAGAAGTCCCAAATCTCACATCCTACATGGCTTTAAATACCTCAGACACATCTGTACTGCTGGATTATTTATGGTCAGTTCCTGATATTAAACTTTCAAACAGAGCAGCATTTTGGCATTTGCTATCAATGTTCAGTGTCCCAGGCAGATCAGATCAAACCTCTGATGCAAAACTAAGAATTTATCTGTATTATTCCTCCCTTTGCAGACCCACAGGTTCCTACTCTGTTCAACATCTCAGTATTTCTGAAGTTGATGCTATTGCTGCCCCTAAAAACCACCTCTGGCACCACTTTATTGAGCTCAAAATTCAATGGTTTTGAAAGTAATTTCTTTCAGTATAATATTCAATTCATTTGGATGTTTTAGGACTCAACAAATCACAAATAAAAGAATCAGCTGCACTTACCTGTTCACTGAGATGCCAAATGCATAGCCCAGCTGTGCCCTTCAAGCAAACCTGGATCAGCAAATGGTACAAAGCAGGAGCAGTAAGAATGAAAGAGAGAACCTGGAAAAATCAAGGGAAAAGGATGGATTTAGTGTATTTTGAAATGACTGCTCTTGATGATCCTTTGCACCAGGTCAATAGGTACTTGATGGGAGATGGAGAGGGACTTGGGCAAGGGCCTGGAGTGACAGGACAAGGGGCAATGGCTCCCCACCGCAGGGAGGAGGATCAGATGGGATATGGGGAAGAAAATCTTCCCTGGGAGGGTGGTGAGGGCCTGGCACAGGGTGCCCCATCCCTGGAAGTGTTCCAGGCCAGGCTGGACAGGGCTTGGAGCAATCTGGAAGAGTGGAAAGTGTCCCTGTCCAGAGCAGGGGGTGGAACTGGATGATCTTTAAAGTCCCTTCCAACTCAAATTATTCTCTAATTCTATGATTTAAAAGTATGCACCTACTACATACCTTCAATTTACTGCTTGCAATTACTTAGTTAAATCATAAAACCCTTAAAAAAAACCCCAAACAGCTAAAACATCTGTTACCCTCCCACTTTTCAGAGCAGCCTCTCTTTTAACCCCTGCAAACATTTTTCCACCAGCAGTCCAACCTGACATGCTCTCAAAAACACAACATTTGGGCCTGCTCCCTTGCTGCTTTACACTCTGTGTCTGTTCCAGCAACAATTCTCCTGCCATTTCAGCCTCCAAGAACGTGTCAGCACCGTGGCTACAACAGCCCATCAGGGCTGGGCAGCTCTCCACAGCTTGCACACAGCACAAACCTTCTCTTCTCCTGAGCACCACAGCACATCTCCTCCTCAATTCCTCTCATCTTGAAAGAAAAATTCACTGTATGCTTCCAAAACCTTGGAAGCAATCTCTTGTATTTCACCAGAAATGCTAAGGGAAATGGGATTATTTAGCATTAGAAAGTGAGGCAAAAACCAAACCTGAATTATTGTCTGGGGTCCCCAGCACAGGAAGGACATGGACCTGCTGGAGTGAGTCCAAAGGAAGGCACCTTCCTACCCACCCCAATCTTCAGAAATCAGCTAATTGCCAGGGCCTGGATTACCCACACTAATTACAGATGATGGGAGGCACCACTTGGGCTGGTGCTGGAACTTTCATCACCTTCTTCTCCATTTGTGGAAGCTGCAGCCAAAGATCTGAGTGTTAGTGATCAAACTTCAGTCAAATCAGACCAAACACTGCAAGAGGGAAGAATTTCTGCAGTGTTTTTCTGGCAGCCACACCAGAACGTCTCTAGGGATTCCTCCAGATCAAAAAATCTTCCTACAAGTTCCTGATGGAGAAGAACCTACATGTCAATGGTGTGACTTCTGAAAAAGCACATTATCCTCCATCCTTTTGTAGATTATTCACTAGAGCCTGTTCTCTGCACTAACCAACACCTTTATCACTGCTTTATAAACACGACACTGCATCTGTACAGTGCAAAAGTGCAAAAAATTTAACACTGACAACAGGGCTTGTTCTGTGAGGAGAGAACAGATGTAAGTGCAAAACATGAATCCAAAGAGGGCACAACTCTCTTGTCCTGGTCTCTGCCAGCTTCCCTGTGCCAGAAAAAGGTAACAAAACTATTACAAAACCAGATGTGGAAAAAAGGAAATGAGAAATTAATTCAAGTCCCTATAAAAAGGGAATGCTAGGTAGGAAAATGTTAGAGATTTTTTCAGAAATGGCTTGGAAGGCAGCTGTGGGGGACAGGTTCTCACAGCCTGTTTCTGTAAACAGCAGAGGTTCTCAAGTTGTTTTTAATTACAAGTAAAAGTGACAAACATGAAGGCCTTGAGAACCTTGCATATCAGAGTTCTCAGGCAGCTTTCTCATAACAAGTAGATATTCTATCTTTAGCTGTTTTGAGAAAGCGAAAATAATTTTGAGAACCCAAATCTTGGTATTGGAAACATAAGGAGGGGTTGGTGTGTTATCTCTGACCTATTGTGAGCTCGGGTTTGCAATATGCATGAACTTAATTAACACTGTTATAAAAAGTGCCTGATTGATGAATAGAGTTAATGCTGATCAATGAAAAGTGAGTCTTCTCCCTCCATCTTCAACAGGAAAATCATCCTGAGATTGCAAGGAGCAATCTTGGCAGGGACCAGCATCAGTGTCCATGTGGCAGCACCCACTCCCATACCTGACATCCCTTCAGTCCTCACACCCCTGCTCAGGGCTGCACCTCCCCCTGCCAGCACCCTGCTCACATGGCAAAGCTTTCAAAGCTTTTCACAGGCACCAAAAAAATCTATCGCACTCCAGACAGAATTTAAAATCATTACTTACACAACAAAGTGTCCCTCTACCAACACGTCCTCAGAATAGAAAAATTCACTTTGTGTCTCCTCTGGAAGGATAAAGGGGAAGTGAAGAGGAAAATAAAAACTAACGGTCACTCAAATGCTCCTGGCTGTATGCAAACACAGAAATCAAAAAAAAGCAGCTGGTGATGCAAAAATCAAATTGATTTGAATGAAAACAACAAGTTATTAATCTAAAGAGAATAATACAATTGATATCAAGGACTGAATCAAAACACTTTGGTAGAGGCCCCAAAAATCAATAAAGAGATAAAAACTCACTTGGTTTTCAGAGTGATAATAAAAACTGAGATATAAAATAATATCATGGTGTTGGAACTGGATTCTGAACATAAACAAGGCAATGTATTAAAACCAGGAGGTAAAATCACCTTGTCAGAAATAGGTAAGGACTTTCAAAAAAGACCTTTTTGGGTGTACATGAAAACAAAAAAGGAAAACCTACCAAGGCCACTACACCAAACTGTGGAACTGTTAATCCAGCAAATCCTAAATGTTTCCATAATATCCACCCCCTGCTGGTGCTGAAGGCAGCCTATTTTAGGAGCAATCCAAACACACTGAAATGCAGCTGCTGAAGGTGCTGCTGTCAACAGAATCAGATCATTTGCAAGCAGAAGTCACTGTGATTTTTCAAAAAGGACAATTTTAGGGAAGTAAATACCCATTTTACAGACTGAGCTCAACACCAGGCTGATAAAGAAAGGGCTTATATGGGAATTGATGAGTAAAGAGGGATAATAAAATTAAGCCAAATCAACACAGTTTATAAAAACCAGACCTACATTGAGCTAATAAAGAGAGCTCTCTGTGTCACCAGAGGGGTAATTCTTCTATAAACCACTAAAGGAGTATCAAGGGACAAAATGATTAATTAAAATCCAACAAAATCAATACAAGGCATTTAAAATTATTCAAATGCAGCTAGATAAGTTTCCAAATACAGCTGCAAACAGCTGCCACCGAGCACTTATGTTTCTAGTGCCACCCCACAGGGATTAATTCTCTGCCTGCCCTGTGTTTCTGTTCTTCACCTTAGGAACTGAGCTGGGAGAGACCCCAAGCACCAGGATCAAGAAAGGGAACACCTGGACAGCCCACCATTGTTCCAAACCTCAGTGTGACCTTGTCCAAGGTGCCTGATCCACTCCAGCAGGGATAACTGTGACCATGCCAACCAGTTCTGCTGTTTTGGAGATCAAGAATGGAGCAGGGATGTTTGTGGCAAGAGGATGAGCTGAATAGTTAATGAAAAAGTGAAAATAAAGAGAAGTAAGAACACTCCCATGTTAAACATTCAAGGCATTCCTTTCCAAGAAGGCAGTGTTATTCTGAAGTGCACATTCACTTAAAACAAGGGCAGTTCTACTGATTTTTTCCTAAAAATCATATCTTCTGATTTGTGATTATGTTACAGCCAAATATTGGGGCAAATTTAACAAAATATCTTGATTTCTCTACAACAGGAGGATGATCTCTTTGAAAAGGTGACCAAACTCATCATGGATTTCTTCAGGTGACCTGATAATGCATCTTTCATCTAACACTTCATTAATTCATAGCAAGGAATAACTTGCTCTCTTCTCAGCTAAAATCACACACAAGAGCTACACTGAACCCCTCTGCATGTAATGGAAATTGACCCAGTGGGAAAAGCAGAGTCAAAAGAACTTCAGGTCCATTTTCTTCCAAATGTAAAGCTTATGGTAACAATTCTTTCTGTTTCCAGTTTGCCTCTGACACACCTTTGCAGCTGTCCAGATAACTGTTCTCATCCAAGCACCAAAATCAAAGGGCAAAGAAGGCACCAGGACAGGAAGAACAATATTTTGAACAGATACAAAAGCCAATCACATAAGGGCCTTTTTTTTGTAGTTAAAACCCAGTCTATGATTTTTGAGAGTTCATACAGAGCCAACAGACTGAGCACCAGCCAATGCTCCTCAAAATCCCATCTAACCCTGCTCTGTGGGGAGCCATTCCCCCTTGTGCTGTGGCTCAGGCTCTTGTCCAGACTCCCTCTTCATCCCCTGAATTTGCTGCTCCGTGTGCTCCTGAGCCTGGAAACAACAGATAAAACTCCCCGTTGTCGATTCTCTGCCACAAATGCAGAGAACTGCTGTCCCTGGTAACCCTGCTAGAGAGGATCTTGCTTTGAGGCTGGGCCCGTTTACGTTTCCAGGGAATCCTGCCGGCTGGAGGAGCTGCTCGGGTCCCTGGCGCCCTCTCTCCTTACCCTGAGCAGCTCCGCCTCTGCTCTGTGCCCGAATTTCTGCCTTTGGCGCCAGCACCGAGGATGGAGCCGCATCCTCCAGCACCGTTTGTGCCCC